TCAAGGGTTCCTTGGTTTTCTATTTGGAGGTACACGGAGCTTGGCTGGCACACTAACACTTTCTACTAACGTGGCTTGCAGAGCAGCAGTGCTGCTCAGGACTCCTGGAGGAGAAAGGCAATTCAGGAGCACAATTGGAAGTCAAGCAAAAGCCTCCCCTCGTTGCAAACAGCCTGAGCGCCAAACCAGGCTGCAACAACCAAAAGATTCACAATTCAAATCATATCAAACTGCAAACCTCAGAGTCAAGAAGCATTCTTGGTTTCATTTTTTCCCCCTTTAGAAGTAATTAAAGTGAGTTCATTTTGGCCTGCTAGAAAGCCATGCATGAACTCCAACTGTAATAGCTGTATTAGACRATTATTATAAATTCATAAAACAGGGAAGGGGCAATTTCACACAGAGAGCAAGCAGAGGGAATTAGTGGAACCAAGAACCAATGTTTGTACAGCAGATTTCAGCGATAATGATGAAAAATACACCACTGCCCTGATCTAAAAACCAATAGCCTGCATACATAGATTAATTTCTGCTCTAGAAGTAAGACCAGTGCAATATTCCTCCTGCAATATGAGGAATACATGCTCACATCACTATCAACACTAGATTTTTGTTTTTGTTTTTTGGCTTTTTTTGGGGGTTTTTTTGGCATTAACAGGGGACAGCTCGCACTTTTATAAAAGTTTCTCTCAAAAACCTTGCCATCCTTTGCTCCTTCCTGGACAACCATCATACGTATTCTCCAGGATTTGTCTGGCATCCACTCACACCAGCTTCACACTGCAAGGCACAGGACGAGAGAAGCTACTGAAGTTGGCACCTGCAGAAGCACAGGGTTTGTTCTGAATTTTCAGGATTGCTTTGGGACAGCTCAGAAGACCTGCCAAGCGTGCAGGAATAAATCCAAGAGGAACAATCAGTCTGGTACAWGGTTATTACCACGTCAAATGAAGTGGAACTTGTCACAGGTAGCTCTTTATAAAGTGTTTCACACACTACGTTTTAGATGTGTTTTGTAACTTCACTTGTACTTTGGAATACTAACKGATAAATAGGAAGCAACAAATGGCACTTAAAAATAATTTGCATTTATGTGATCGCACACAGCACCAAAGGCGACAGCAGAACAAGACCAACATTACTACACAGCAYGTCTGAGAGAAATCCACCCTATGTGTAAAAAAGTCTTAGAAGACTTTTACARCGATCCAACAATTAATTGCCCTGACATTTAAGGCACTAAACAAGAATTCCCATGCAGCCATTTCAATCTTGGTGAGCCCTCAACGTGGATTGTGTTCAAGTCTTTAGAGAATAGAATTAGTGATTTCTTTTTCCTAATGAGCTGTCCAAAGCAAGGTTTGAGCCTTCAGTTACTGCCTCGACAGCCAGCAGCCTGCTGACAGACAAAATTCACTGCAAATTCACAAAACAGACTCATATTAAAGCTGYCCAGCAGCAGAGCCTGACCTTGGCTGCCCACCCCACCTTTCCTCTCCTGCTCCTCCCCACAGCCTCACTTTCAACTGCCACCCACCCCAGGATATGAATTTCTGAAATATTCTGAAAATATGAATTTTATATGAATTACACTGCAAGAGAGCAGAGGGGAGAAGAGCTTGAAGAGAATATCCTCTGTTGGGGATATCCTTTATGTAGGCACATAGGGGTCTGGCTCAGAGGGGACTAAGCACTGCCCTTCCAAAAAAATGAACTGGCACCACATGAGACACTCTGATTCTCTTACCTGACACATAAAAGCAGTCACCCAAATAACCCACCTTGGCTGCTCACCATGCCTGTCCTGACCAGCAGCTCCAAAAGGTTTCATTTAAGCAGACCTTACTACCTTCCCCCATTGCCCCAATCCTTTCTCGTGCCTTTGCCAACATTTAGTTAAGAATTTTAGGAAACACTTAACTTTTGATCCTCRCTGCGTGTAAAATTAAGCTTGCGGATGTCTTCGCTAGCTCAAGTTATTAAGGCTATGAATTCCTTGCAGCAGCTGGTCTCCATGTCCATCATGTGTCATGAATACCCTTGCTGCTATAAATAATTGGCCTGAAAGCCGTTAGAGCTGATGGAAGCGTTCAATTTGCAGGGGAAGAAAACGGGGTTGCTAAGGAACTGCAAAGAAAAGGCCACTGAGTGGTAATCTGACATGAAATGAAAGGAATTAATTTAATTGGCCCTTGATATGCTTGGCATACCACGGCACTTGGCATATCATGAGCTGTTTAGCAAGCGGTAGCCTTGGTTTCAGATGCAGCCTGGAACAGAAGAGCCGGAACGTCGCTGCACCCCTCATACAGAATTAGCTGCACTCCCTCCTCTGCACACAACAGGYTGTGTCCACCTGGGGGGATTTCTGCAAAATTTCACAAATGAACAACGAACACGAATTAGTCATTGTGCCCGCAACTTTTGAGACTCCATTTTTCAAATTTAAGACAAGAGGGAAGTGCTCTTTACACCTTTATTCTCTTTACTGTATCTACAAATGTGCTCTGCAGCTAAGTATTGCTTCGTATGTGCTTTGCTTTCTTGCTTTGCTGGTTTTGGCAGAGATTCCAGCAATGAACAGAATCAAATAATACGTAACTGATACTTGTCCTGGAGCATTTTCATTTCAGGAAAAAATATTCAATTACTAACAACAACAACCGTCTGAAAAGCACCAAGCAGTGGAACATTCGTCAGGCTCTCTCTGGGTTCAGTTCTTTTTAAAAGTTCTTCTTTTCCCTTTTCTTTCATGGCACAACTTTCTCTTATGAAACTTTTCCAGGTACTTCTGCATTTTTCTGTCCATTAATGAAACAGAAGAGAATGAGGACTACAGTGATGAAGATCTTCAGCATGTTTTGCAGCGCCTTCACAGCTTGTTATGCATCTTTCAAGAACATTTCCGTTCCAAGCATCAAAAATGCTTGGTATTCAACAGCCACACAGGGCCAGAATTCCAGCAGCACAACTGCCCCAAGTGCAATTCAAGCCACAAGACAGCAGGCATCAACGTGACCACCTCATTGCCTCCCCCCTTCCTTACCACACCTTTTAGGGGCTCTATTCTCCAACACTATCTGACATGCTCAGTACTCAAGGCTACATGAAGCTATGCCACACAGCAAAGACATGGTACCTACCACTTTAATACAGTGAACAACACACTTTCATCGAGWGGTTTACAAGGAACCAATTTATGAGCAAACAGGGGATGTGTGACCCACCTGCCTTCCCCCTACACAGGGCTCTTACCTCTGCTGACCGTGCATTTCTAGTCCCTAATTTGGTCGGGGTTTGCTGGTTGAATGTATTGGTTTTGAAGGGCCTCCAATAAAACAACACGTGTCTGAAAATTCTGTTCTCTTTCTTCTCTTATGATTTGGAATCACAAAACATATCTTCTATTTATTCTCTTACAATTTTTCCCTAAGATAACCCWGATCTATTATCAAATCTTTTCTGTACATACAGTAAATAACAACCATAACTATTACTACAATGTGTTTTACACATGTGAACCAACTGCCACTCTATAAAAGTTTTACAAGACCAATAGACAAAAACATTTTCACATCCATACACTAAACACTGTTCTGGATAGTTATGGGGGAAAAACATGACACATGTTCCATGCTTTTTTAAGAAACATGGGTGGAGTACAGGGAATCGTGGTAAAAGGAACTGCARTCATTTGCCTAATGTGTCTCTGTGTGGGCATTAGAGATAACAATGCATTACCCCAGTTCCATCACCTTTTTTGGTAACTCAAAACTTAATCCTTAAGAGGAAATAATATAGGTGCTGCCTCACTTCCTGAATTCCTGTTGCTGCTGCACTTCACTTGCCATTCTTTTGTAATGCAAATGAAGAATGAAAAAAAGAAAAGTTAGGACATAAAAAATTTTTAAAGAAGCAGTGGCTGTACCCTCAAAAACTTTACTCTAGAAATAATCCAAGCAGCTTCCAGTCTGGGAGAGCATGACAACGTGCCCAACAATAACGATGAAAGGATCTCAAGCCTTGCTAGATGTCAGCAGGCAGCATTCCTCAACCACAACGTCCTTGTCCAAGGAATGAGACAGTGCTGACAGCCTGCCACTGAGAAGCAGAGCGAGTAGTAATTACTATAACTAGACCAAGATGATGTAGGACACATCACAAGCGTCCAGCGGGGCCCTGGCCACACTAACACGCTGCACTGATCCATTTAAATACAGTCTATGTCACCTGAAGTGCTATGCATAAGGCACRGTTTACTTGCAACAAGCTCAAGACAAAGATGGAAAAAATATCTGTCATGTGCATGTGATGAGAAAAGTCTAAGAATGGATTTTAAAAGGCATGTCATTGAATGTTATTAGGTTGTGCTTTTTGTTGTTCTTGTTGACCAGTAGGTGGGTTTACAGCTATCCTTAGCTCACTCCAGAGCATTTCTGTATGCAAACATCTTTTTATGGAAACRACAATAAATCACAATGTTCTCTCAAGGACACTACATGGTCAACAGTTATACAAAGAGTAGCAGCTACCATTTAAGGCCTAGTTTTAAAAAAAAAAAAAGTGGGATTTTTTTGTTTTTTGTTTTTTTAAACCAACAGACCCAGTATTCACAGTTAACCTCTTGGCCTCCACTGTGGAGCCACAGGTGCCTGAAAGCGTGCAGCTCAGAACCCCAGAGATCACTAACATTGGCTTATTTGCAGTCCTCCACACCAGCCTCATCTATTTTGCAAAAAATAAAATAAAAAATAAAGGGCAGGGGTGGAATTCACGAGAGAAAATGAACCTTGGCCACGTGCATTAAAAAAAAAAGAGGATACACTGCAATAGAGCAGGGAGGGTGAATGGCGCAGGGAAGAAGGGATCCCACACGGTTGTCCCTTTGCATTATTTTAAAGCCAGGGCAAGGCAATCATTTTCAGAGGCAGCGGGACAGCGTGCAGCAGGCAGTGCCAGCAGACGGGCGAGGCGGGAAGGCGCAGACAGGAGGCACTCACCGTGCACACGGAGGCCTCATCGGCGGCGCTCGCCCCGCGGCGCGCCAGCAGCCGCTCCGGCAGCGCCAGCCGGAGCAGCAGCCAGGAGAAGGCGAGCAGCAGCTCCCGGCTGCCCGCGGAGCCGTCGCCGCGCAGCCCGTACAGCTGCCGCCTCCCGTAGCCGTAGTACCACAGCGCCCGCTTCACACTCCGCACCTGGGCATCTGCAAAGGAGAGAACGGGGCAGCTCAGCACACCGCGCTGCTCCGCACACCGACCTGCTCGCACCCGGAGCGCAGCCTGCTCTGAGGGCAGGGGTCCCGAGCCAAGGCAGGGACGGGCAGAAGTCATCGGAGGCTGCAGGTCTGCACCTYAGCACCAGCTGAAAGGACGGGGTCCTTTCAAGCAACTCTTCCTCTCACCGCCCATCTCATCTACAGGAGCAGCTGCTGAGGGGATGAAAAAAGAAATTCTGAGTTCATAGGGAGGCTGCTGGTGGCCTCTCATAAACTAATAAATGTAACGAGGATAAATAACCATCCAGGACTCCAATTCACCCACTCGTTTCACATGAACCACCWAATACGTTATGAATTAGCGAATATTCTGGGTCAATTTAGTACTGAATGGAACTGAAATTTAGAGTTAGGGATTTGCAACAAACTGTTGCACCTGAGTAACCAGTGCACCTTGCTGCACACCAGACCTCATGGAGCATTTAATTCTGAGAAATGCTCTGCTCCATATTCCTTCACACCAACAAATTTTACCTGACAGCTACAAGACAGGCACTACAGAACTTTAAAACACTGGGAAAAGGAGGATTGTATTAAATATATTACAAACAAAAAAAAAAGGGGGGGAAGGGGGATTCTGACTAATAAACCTGAGAACTGTATGAGTACAAATTTAAGAGAAAGGCAAGTAAAGTTACACGTGAAAAACAGCTTCATTGTAAGGAATGACAATGTGGGCTGCGAAAACGGCAGAGAATGGACATGACAAAAATAAATAAATAAAAACAAGATTGGCCTGAATGGGCAAATTCAGTCCAGGAACCGGACTTACAGAAGTTCATGGGAGCTTCATGGGAGTCTTCCTACAAAGACATCATCTCTAGCTTGGCAAGTCTCAGTCTTACCTACCACATATAATATAAAGCCAAGATGCAGTGAGGAGCTAGAAGCTGCTCTGCACCAGCACCCCAATAGGAGCAGCACGTTGCCCMAGCTCAGCTAAGGTCTATGGTTTACCTGGTCTGACCAGCTTTAAGAAATCCCCAGGGGATCCCTATTTCCAGAATACTCCTCCTCCAAATACACAGCTGCAAACACTACCCAAATCACAGGTCTTCTGCAGCAGGAGCAGGTGATTAGCTGTGTGATGAGTCCCTGACCAAGACATTAGCAATACCTGGTAACTGAAAGCAGGTTCTAGCATATGCTTAAGGGGGCAACACCACGGTGCAGAACTACCACTTGAAAATATAAATAAATATATGTGTGTGTGTGTGTGTGTGTGTGTGTGTGTTTTGCAAGGCAGAGCTTCTACACAAGCACATCACAACTGGTTTCAAAACTGACTTGTTTTTGCTTTATAGACAAAAGGGGGGGAATAAAAAGATAAGGCCTATGTCACTCTGCCTGCTCCTTTTGCAGAACCTGCTAATGTAAAAACATCTGAGTYGCCTCCCCAAGAGCAAGGGGGCTTCTTCCGACCCATGCAAGAAAACACCACTCAATGGGCAGGTAATGCCAACCATTCAAATATTTCTTCTTTGCCTGCATTTTCTTACAGCTTTTTGTACAAAATTAGACATTTTATACAGAGAAACCTAGAGAATCCTTGCAGGAGATTCCCTTCTGTGTGCACAGGGTATCTGTAAGAGCATGTTCAGCACTAAGGCCAAGCTGTGGTTGAAACTCAAGGGTCAGCTCTCTTAAAACTATACTTAAAACTCACTTAAAACTCACACTCTGCTCTGCTGCTTTGTGAATACTGCAGAATATCTGCAGGGAAATACCACACAGTGTTCCAGTAGGGGTTTGCATTAATCCACTCCAGGCCAACTAAGGCAGAAAGGAGCTAAAAGAAGCCCAAGACCAGACACAGATGAATTTGGGCAAGAAACACCTGTGGAGACAGCGGTGTTTCGGGAAACCGCTGCCGCAGAGCAACAACTTCTGCTTCATGTGTCAAACGAACAGCAACACAGTGCAGCTCCAGGCCTCTTCCTGGACAAATCCAGGAGGGGAAAAAAAAAAAAAAAAAAAAAAAAAGCCATTTGCGGAGTTTTTTAAATACTGACAGTGCGGCTTCAGGAGGGCCCGTTTCTGCAAAGCCTGCCGCGCTCGAGCGCCGCAGCCCCGCGGGTTTCCCGCACACGCGTTTCCCCACGCGCCGCGTTTGGGACGCGCGTGGCCGCCACGCGCGGCGCCGCCCGCGTTACCTCGGCCGTCCCGGGCGCGCCGCCCGCCGCCGAGGAGCTCGTGGAGGAGCGCCCAGCACGGCGCGCTCTGCGGAGGGAAGGCGCAGCGGTCAGCGCGCGCCCGGGCCCGCTGTTCCCGGTATTCCCGGTGTTCCCGCTCACCGCCTGCGGCCGGTCGAAGC